CAGTGATCGGAGTGATCGGTCATTTCTCCGATCACAGCTCCACCGGTGGACAACCTAACCTTACTTCAGCCAGATCTCAGGCCAAAAACAAGCAAACAAACGAGAAATCGTGAGTATTTCGCGCCTCCCGCCGTCGCTGAGTCTGATGATTCTGCTTGGATCGTCATTGTCGCCTATGTATTGAATTATGTAATATTTTTAGTGAAATTTTCCCCCGTACTTTATTTGTAGCAAAAAAGGAGTTAATGCTGGTACATTGAGTATATATTTGCACTATTGCAGTATCATTGCGGTAAAGGTTTGATGAGAGGAAGAAATCCATTTGTTTACATTGGTGGAAAGTGTGTTCTTAAACTCCCGACTGATCGCGGGCAATTTCGTACCAAAATGGCGGCCGATGGATTTCCATCGGTGGATTTAGGCAGATCTACCGATCAAAAAAAGAAAACCCCTTAAAAGGCCATCGTGAACTTTTCGAAGCAGTGTTGCCAATTTATTATTAATTTTTTTAACATAAATTTAGGGTATTTTCGAGATTTTTGGCGGAAGACGTACCTTCATGGGCTATAACTTTGATGAGTATGGGCTAAACATTACGACTCGATAGTGAATGAACGCTACAGACGGAGAAACCAACGCACACGGAACGCAACATTGCGTTCGGAATTCAATTTCCTCCGTCTGTAGCGTTCATTTACTATCGAGTCGTAATGTTTAGCCCATACTCATCAAAGTTATAGTCCATGAAGGTACGTTTTCCGCCAAAAATCTCGAAAATACCATAATTTTATGTTAAAAAAATTAATAATATATTGGCAACACTGCTTCGAAAAGTTCACGATGGCCTTCAGCTGCGCTTCTATTCGATCTCAGGGTAGTATTCAGCTCGTGGACCGATGCACTAGTCTGTTTAATTATGATGCACTGGACTATTAGTCCCGAATTCCTTGATTTTAGGACAAATAAATGGAAAATTGAGCCTTGTCTCGTTGACCAACTCGGGTGTATTAGTCTGTTGAACCATGGTGATCCAGAATTCCTCAATTTTTGCACATAAAAATGGAAAATTGGCAACGCTGTACAGCCTAAACGAGGTTTCACTTCAAGTTGAAACTTTTCCAGGAAGTTTGCCTTACCATAAGCTTTCATTTGAGCACCGTGCGGTTGATCAACTCGGGTAAACAAAAAGGGGCTAAAAAACACCACTTTTTGGCGAGGCTCTTTGATTATACAACCGACATAATTGCGGGGCTTGGAAGAAAAGGCAATAAGTGCAGATTTTGCTATTTCAATAAAAACGTGTTTAAAGTTTCAAAATTACATGGAGCCATATGGCAGAGAGGAAGTTTAACTTCACTTTTTGATGCTCAAGTTGGATTTTACATATAGTTGTAAATTTTTCACCGAATATAACTTCAAACTAGTTTTAGTTGAGTACGTGAATATCTCTTTTTTCTAAAATACTGCACTTATGAGCCTCGTCCTCCGATCCCCTCATTTGGGAATTTCGCAGTTTCTCATCTTACACGCGCTGTCTCAGTACGAAAACGAAATAAAACCCTTGAAAATCTATTCTTGAGGGGGTGCTGGCGTGCGCCTTCCGTCCGAAAATTCGGTTTCTTGACTCCTCTCGACGGAAAAAGCTTATAGGTGAATATGTTGAGCTTCCGTAGACTGATGTACTTTTCCTAGCGACGAACGGTTACATGTGGATCAGAAAACCTGACAAGTCAAATAGTATAGCACGCGTAGTACTCAATACCCCCCCCCCAATTTTATGCAGACAAATTTTCTTCGAGAGAGAATACGCGCTAATGGAAAATCGGATGCTTTTTTACGATGAAAATCATCACCGTTTCGGGCATTCCAAATTTAAACCTCTGTTTGGAAACATTTAAATAGCCTTCCCGACGAGGACTACGTAGACGTGTAAAACTTTGTTCATGACAGGGTCGGAAGGGCTCACATCTCAGGGCGTAGAATCTTAACCGGCTGAAGATGCGTAGAGTGATATTTATTAAAATTCACTGAGTGATTGTGAATGGCTTCTTTTGACCCCCTTCTTGAATCCAGAGTTTTTGGCGAATGAGGTGCAGCCATATTTTAATGATATTTTCATTAACCCGTAGATGCTGAGGCCCGGTCAAATTGACAGGAGACTTCTTTGAAAAATGTGCCACGTGAGTTGAGTTGTGAATAGGGCCGCGATACATACGAGCCGTAGATGTAGGTCTGTATATATTTGTGCATTAAGAAAAAGAATCAAACCTCTTTAAAAAAGAAGAAAAAATTGAGGTACAACAGAGTCGAGACCTAATTGGGCCTTTTAAATTTTTCTCTCGAATCCGAGCGACACCTCACTGGCAGCACAGAACGGAGCATTGCGAGTTCACGCATACAGCGCCATCGCGCCTTCAATTTTGCAGATGCAACACGGACATCCATCATGTACGAATAGTTGTATCTCTGCGTCGTCATCAATGCGTCTCCTTTTACTTAGCTCCATTTCCATACTGTGTTTCTTTCAGTTTGTCTTATTTATATTCTTAGCGGTGATTTGAAGGCTGTATGAGCAACACAGCCGTAGATAGGAGAGCCGTAATAATCGAGCCTATTTTCTTAACTTTTTTCGCAACACCTTATTGGCAGCATAAAGCGGAGCTGCGGAACATCGCGAATTCACAACTCGCGCCGTCGCGCCTTCAATTTTGTAGATGCAACACAGACATCCATCAACCACGAATAGTTGTATCCTGGCGCCGTCTTTCCATTTGCTCTATTTTCATATTGTGTTTGTTTCGTTTGTCTCATTTGTAGTGGTGCTTCAAGGGCTACGTGAGCAACACAGCCGAAAATAGGATGTGCCCTAATCAATTATCATTTTGAAAAGAAAAAAAAATGATAGAGATCTCTCGAGCGATCAAAAGGGCGCACATCTAAAAATTGACTGTACTACCTCTTCTGAGAGAGTGACACATGGCGGACGAGGAAGGGGGGGGGGTGATAAAGCGTCTCCATTTCCAGTTCCAGGACATCCATTCACCACTTTATATCATGCGCACGAGGACCTTTCTTTACTCTCACTTTCTCTTCTCCCGTTCATTTATGAATTTCCCGCATTTTTTCTCGGTCATAATTTTTTCTCTCATCTTATTTTGCTATAAGTGACAGAGGGGCGCGTCTTCGATGCGTCAGGGGGGCGTATCTGCAAATGGCAGATTGGCCTTATGGCCAGTCCGACCCTGTTTCTGTGCCCTAGAAAATCTGCTGTGAATGCGACACAACTCGCTGTGCTGTATGGATGAAAAAAATGATTTTCATAGAAAATATATTTGGAGATAACTCCACGAATCAGTGGCTTTATTTCTCCTCATTTTTTTTTATCGATTCTCGGAGCAAGAGGTATAAGACGAGAGAGCTTGCACTTTGAGAAACTCGGGGAAACGAAGAGAGGAATAAAGTAACGCTCTTTGCATAATTGTGCAAATGAAGGCGCGAAGTGCACACAGACCGTCCGAGACTCCTCTCCGACCTTTCACTATTTATCCAAGCTCTTCAATTTATTCAACCTCTTACTTCTACCGATGTTGCGATCACAAACTAATAAAGGGTTTATCAAGAAGTTGCTTAGAAGCTTTTCTTATCTACATTTAGAGGAGGTCCTGGGATTCATGACAAACTTGTCAAGCAATTATTTAGATGTTTGGAATTTTTCAATAGGAGTTTTGTTTTGTTGTGAAATGACTATGGCCCAATATTCTTGATAGAGAGTGATCCAAAAGTTCCGAGAGAAGTGATTATGGCCTAATATTCTTGATACAGGGTGATCCAAAAGTCCCGAAAGAAGTGATTATGGCCCAATATTCTTGATACAGGGTGATCCAAAAGTCCCGCGCCCCTTCCTGAACTTATTAACAAATTGAAACAGAGACTTGAAATTTTGGGAGTATACCCATGAGTTAACAGGAACTACTTTTAGGACTTCTCAACATTTTTAAGGGGCTACATTGATAGCAGTCCCAGATATCGCCGAAATATTGGTGTCCCACTTCCAATCAGATATTTTTTTAAAAATCGACGAAATTGTTCTCCCTGATTTTGAAATCCATTGTCGGTTTGACAGGAGCTAGCGCGTTCTATTGCAGTAGGGCTCTAAAAGTGGCAAAAATATCGGGAAAATGTCTCATTTCAGAATGAGGCAGACAAAGCTTTGTCAATGCAAGAGTACCGAGTACCTCTTGATCTTTAAAAACATGATGTCCCCAAAAAAAGCGTCAAGCTAATATCGATCGGAAATACTTAACATCTCTGGTTGCATCAGCTGATCGCCGGAAACACTCCCTGATTCTGCGCGAAAATTACAACGTCAAACCATTAGTTACCGAAAATATTCAGCAAGTCCGATTACATCAGCTGATTCCCAAAAACGCCATTTGACTGCGTGGGAAGGTATACTTCGCCTAGTGAATATTTAAAAAAAATATTTAGAATTTCCGATAAATATTTACTTGACGCTGCATATTTTCGCACGCAATTAGAGAGTGTTTCCGGCGATCAGGTGATGGGACCAGAAACGCTGAATACTTCCGGTGCACTGAAAAGAGAATATGGCGATTTTTACCAGAAGAAAGGTGAATTCTGGTGTTAGTCTACTTGATTTTTGACACAGTGACACTGTAGGGTAAATAGTCCAGTACCACATGTACAAATAAGAGGTCCCGTGTGCAGCTTCGTGGGTAAAATTGTTGTGATATGTCACAAAATTTAACTAGACATCTGGTAACACTAACCATACTTTTGGGGGAATCCGATTAGAATTAAGGTCTTTGCGATTGCGACCATATAGAGTCCGTTGGTGATTACCATTCTCAAATGGACGTATTTATGCTAAAAGAAACTATGTTACATGCAATCCCTATGCGCATAGTCCCTTTTAGCATAAATGTGTCCAAATTACTATCACTCAAACCATGCTTTTTTCTCATTGTACATATTCATACTTGACGCTGTAACTTGCACGCGCAATCAGAGAGTTTTCCGGCGATCAGCTGATACAACCAGAAATGTTAAGTGTTTCCGGTAAATATCCTCTGATGCTACATTTTAAGATAACGTTCTTGGGAATCAGCGGGTCGATTGTTGAATCTGAATCGAATGATCTTGATCGATATACACCATTGTGAAGATAGGGATTTATCGATATGGATCATTCGATAACGATTCAGCAATCTGCCCGCAGGGGGCATTATTGCATTGGGAAAACTTTGTCTGCCTAATTTTGGAATGAGACATTATTTCGGCATATCGCCACTTTTAGAGCTTTACTGAAGTAGAACGCCCCAGCTACGGTTAAGCCGACGACGAGTTTTGAGATAAGCAGGAAAAGTTCTGTCGATTTTCAAAAATTTGTTCCTCATAAAGTGGGACACCACAATGATCGCGATCTCCCAGAATATGAGAGAAGGCACTGACCCTAACTTTTTTCTCTTCAAATAGGAGCCTCCCCCTCCACACCTGTGGCCTGCCCGTATCGCCGGTATCTGCTGGAATTGAAATCAGGACTGAAATTTTACATGAGTTTAATGGTGCAATTAATTTGAAAGATCACGTTCATAATGTTTGAAACAAAAAACCCCTTTAAGTCAAAATTTCTGACATTTTCAACTTGATACACTCAGGCGTTGCCTCACTCTAATCTCTCAGCGACGGCTTATTAAGTAATTCAAAAATATTTTTTTTGTATAGTCTATGGTTGATCGCACCCCAACCATGGAATCTTGCCGTTCGAGTAAATTTGAAAGATCATACGTTCATAATGTTTGAAACAAAAAACCCCTGCAGTAAGTCAAAATTTCTGACATTTTCAACTCGATACACTCAGGCGTTGCCTCACTCCAATCTCTCGGCCACGGCTTATTAAGTAATTCAAAAATATTTTTTTTTGTATAGTCTATGGTTGATCGCACCCCCAACCATGGAATCTTGCCGTTCGAGTATTTTAAAATTAAATATCGTGAGGTTAATCTGATCAGAATTTTCGCCCAGGACGAGGGCAAAAATAATAAGGAGACTGCGAGATTAACGATGCTCTATAGTCGGAAAGAGGGAAGACTAACATCTCGCGAACAATGAAAAGCATCTCCATTCCTCTCAACGGAAATAGCCCCAAGCGCCCGTGGTGCCTGCGATCGGCGCCGCATACAACCCGCACAGCCGAGGTTTTGCAGGTCAACTACCACGCTCTGTCGGCGGGAGGCTCGCGCTCGCCCTGCGAACGATAGAGGAATCACGCGAGGGAGTCGCAGCGGCTCAATTGTCGAATCGTTATCGAATGAGTTCGATCGATAGCTCCCTATCTTCACAATGCTATATATCGATCAAGGGCATTCGATATCCATTCAACAATCGACAACAATCCTGCCGAGCTGAGGAAGAACGCCGTATGAACATTCGAGAGTTGCCAAATTTCCTCAGAAGAAATTTTTATTTGTGAGGAGACTTTTGAATATTTTTCCTTAAAATTTTCAGAAAATTTAGGCCGTAATCTGAACAAAATTAGCTGAGAAATTTGAAGAAAAATATTAACAAACTTTCCTGAAAATTAGTGATTTGTCACAGGAAGTTTGGCAACGCCTGAAGGCTCATACGGCGTTCTTCCTTAGCACGGCAGAATCGATTCCAAACGCCCTGACTAACTTCGGGACTCGGCGCCTGCGGTCGGCGCCATGCAAGCCGCGCAGCCGAGTGCTGCGGGTCGCCTACCGCGCTCTGGCGGCGGGGGCGGGCACCCGACCTCCAACTGGGGATGAACCGAGTTTTGAGTCCGCTCTCGGTCAGTTTGCGTTCGTCTCGCGGCCCTGGCACCCTCGCGCGCCTCTTCGCCCAAATATGTGATAAAGAAGGAATCGATGGCTTTTGTTATTTAGTTTTAGTTAGCTGCAGCGCCCCGGTCGCGCGCCGCTTTGTTAAGTAGTGTTTGTTTCCGTAGATCGTAGCGGTAGTGAGTGCCCGGATATCCGCCAGCCCCCCGACTTGCCTAGCAGGTAATCCAACTTGAACCTACCTGTAAACCTACCCTAACCTAACCCGTTCTTGCATCACTGAGCTGGGTGAAAGGGCAAGTGGCGCAATTCCACCCCCGGAGAAAATGAATGCGTGCTATTTTTTCGGAAATTTTAAAAAAGGCGTCGCCTCGTACCCCACGTTTCCTCGCTGTGCGATCTAGTGGAATAATCAAAGCAGTAAAAAATCTAAAATCTGCGAAATGACTCGGAATTTAACTAGAATCAGCATTTTAGTTAACCTAATTTCGTCGTACGTTTTGTTTTTTAACCAAAAACCATCAAATTTGATACTTTGAAATTTATCGCGGAGTTACCATAGATCATCGTTAAAGATACTCTCATAATTTTTTAATGCGAATTGTCGCTAAGTTTCCTGTTGAAATGATCAAACGAGAGAGAAATTAATGCTGATAATGTTTAGTTATGGCTGTCTCTCATTAATAGCGCCCCTTCAGGCGCCGTCGCATATATTCACTGATCAGATTGACTAGAATTTTGGATTCATAAGGAGAAACTGTTGATCGTAAGCATACGAGCTCTATTGAGCCTGAAACTGGATTTAGCAGTAGTGTGAAGTTGTCTTGAATATCTGTTGGTACTCACGCGAAGAAAAATAAACAACTCTAATTTAGATTTTTTTCTATCAATGTATAATTAGATTCATTATACCTCTTTTCAAAACGGGTCGTTTCCATTCAATGAGCAAATAATACCGCCAGACTTGGTAAATAGTGTTGCAAAATAATTTTTGTGCAGAGATTATAGAACTTGGGGGGGGGGGGGGGGGGGAGGGGGTGGTGCCCAGACAGTTCACATAACATGAGCTGGGTAGACTCAAATTCGAAAAATGAATATATGTTCTAAAAAGAGAAACCTATATCAAGCTAGTGCGAGGAATACATCACGTTGGTGAGACTAAGTCTTGAATTTGGGCCAAATGTGACAAAACAGGAGTCCCTCATACATAAGTACACTTATGCGCTTATGTGAGCGAGGAGGTTTTCAAGTTTGATGATTATTTAGCGTCTCATGAAACGAAATTAAGGGATTGGTCGATGATACAAGAACGCCCGAATTCACAGATATTCAATATATGAGAAATTAAAAATGGTTTGAATGAACAATTGATAAAAAAAATAAAAAACAAATAAATAAAAAAATAACCGCAAACCCAACAGCAAGCGACCATGGATAATAGATGAATGGGCGAGAATTCTGACGAGGTCTCGAGCTGATGCCAAATCTAATTAAGGGGAGACCAACCCCTCTTTAACACATTTATGAGAAGGGAGGCTCTGAAGTTTGAAAGTTACCTACATGGCGCTTTCAGACACAGAATTGCTTCTTACGTCTAAATTGAGCAATATCAAGAGGTAAGAAACCACTTTCTGGAAAAAGAAAAGTTCTGCGCGTGAAAAGCTGTTCAACATGCAATCCAAATAATTCCTATGAAGAATATTTTTGAGGTCAAAATTTTTAGTTGAATGATTGAAAGATGAGTTTTTCTCGTGTTCACGACAAGAAAATTCAATTTAGTATGAAAATTATGCCCTATCGAGTGCAATATGTGTCGTTCGTTGATTCTCTCTGTTTATTGAAACAAGATCTTAATCTAGAACGAGTGCAGCTCGTAATTTCAATTTAGTCTATATCACCATGTTATCACTCTATACTATCACGTAAAATATTTCAATATTATAAATAAAAGTGAGTTTTGACAGTGATTCCATCCATCCCAATTCACAGCAAAAAGACAAAGGTTTAAAGCTCGGCACAGGGCTTCTTCATTACATTCCGTTGAATGTCTTCCACGGTCAGAAATCATCAAGACACATGAAACGGAGGGCATAACATAAATCCAAACATTACAAACGAAAAGGAATGTTCAATAGTAATCGAAATCAATATTCAGCTCTCTATAGAAGGGTGGTTTTGTAGTTCGAACTAATAAAGAAGTATTCAAGTGTAATACGTAACGCATTATCATACAGCCAAGGTTATAAATTCGTCACGAAGGGACAAATAAAAATTCTAAATTAAGCGAAATTCTGAAACACAGGAACTTAGCCGTATCATCGCTGCCTCCGAAGCTTAATTATGCATGCGTTATTATGGTTCGAAAACAGACGGAAACGTTTAACAATTGGCCGCTGCAGCGTAAGTTATTGAAGAGCGATTACGGACGGATTCGCCTTCATTTAGCGGAACAGGCAAAAGCGGTTTCCCCGAAGCCGCAATAGTGGTATTCGCGGCGCATTTACAATACATTAATCTACTTTTATGTTACTAATCTGGGCAGAAGCCAGTGAGCCCACGTGTTGCGGACCATTTGGCAGACTTCGAGATTCGAGAGGACAGAGGCAGACACAAAGCGGCGAGCTAGAAAAAAGGCCGAACGATTCTCCGACTCCTGCCAAGTTCTGGATCCGTTGAGGCATTTATTTGAAAATCAAAAGACCGGTAGACTTTTAATCTTGCACATCGAGAGTGAAACTGGGGAACCATGTGTCTCGATCGCGACGTCTCAAATCTCCGATCTTATTCAATTTTTGTATGATGTTTTCAGAGAATTTCTTCGGGACGGTAGAAATGATTAAATACATAACGATGATTACAGATGAACCACATTTTGCAATGAGGAACCACTTTTTTATGGCTCAATTTAGAAACGACATATGTGCCATTGGTTTTCCTACGCAGAAAAGTGATTTTATGGAAGAGCCAGAGATAGTGGTTCCTTCCTGAAAAATTTAATCCAGATGATCGACGTCCTACCGATGCCGACGCTATAAAAATACGACTGAAAATCTGCAATGTTGCGAACCGGGGAGTGAGTTTTTTTTTTTTTTTTTTTTTTTTTTTTTTTTAAATTTCATCATTGACATGTACCTGCGTCGATTTTTAAAATCTTTTTGAGGGCTCTCTTTTTATAATCTTTTGATTAAAAATTGAAAGAATTGAAACTTTTTTCCCTACACTGGAAAAAAAAAAACACATTTGATCTAGAGTCCAGACTCTTAAAAACATCGACAAAAAAAGCACTATTGATTCACTCAGAATCTAGCTTAAATCAAGAACCAAGCCTCTTAATTTAAGCAGATTTCGTTTTGATTCAAGCAAAAATTTGATTGAATCAAGAGTATTTTTTCTTGTCAATGTTTTCATCAAGAGTCTGGACTCTAGATCCAATGTGTTTTTTTCCAGTGTATGATATTATTTCATCAAGAGAGAAAGAAGCCTCCTCAGAGGGAATACAAATTCCATTTTTTTTTATCATTGTGAGAACATTTCATCTAAAGAATGTTCTTTTCTCCGTTGAACTCCCTCTTTTTATTTCTTCTTAATTTTTCCTTCCTCCCCTCTTTCCTTCTGTGCTCTTGTGGCTTAAAGAAGGTTATCAAAGTAAAATGTTTTCAACTCTCTATCACTGACGATAGCGACCACCAAACAGCCGGAAGGACCATGGACACGTCTTCGTTTCTTCTGAAAAGGGGATAACAAATGCCACCCTCAGGAGTAGCGAGGGGGAGCAGAGGGCGGGTCGGGGTGGGGGGCGCAATCCAAGGATTCCGCGGTTTCAGCTTTCGGGTGTTCTGACACGGTGGGAAGGGAGGGGGCGGCAGCGGTGCTTTACTCTCCGGACAATCTTAGGAAGTCAGTTGCGAGACAAAACCAGGACTTCAAAGAGGACCTAGGATGAGCGAAGAGAAACGAGATTAGTTTGCAACAGTAATTAAATCTAATTTACTTGAAGCCACCGTTGCGTGGTTGTTGTTGTTTTTTTATTACCTCAGTGAAGAGAAACGACGTATATGCTCTCAGACCTCGTCGAATTCGATTTGAAACGCACGGGAAGAAAAAAACACATTGGATCTAGAGTCCAGACTCTTGAAAACATTGACAAGAAAAAGGACTCTTGATTCAATCAGATTTAAGCTTAAAACAAAAGGAAATCCGCTCAAATTAAGAGGCTTGGTTCTTGGTTTAAGCTTAAATCTGATTGAATCAAGTGTATTTTTTCTTGTGGATGTTTGTAAGAGTCTGAACTCTAGATCCAATGTGTTTTTTTCCAGTGCAGCAATGAGTTTTTGAAAAACCTGTGAATTTTTTTCTCCGACTTTTTCATTGAACTTTGTTTGCATTTGGGTTCGATCCGTCGGAGAATCTCGAGAAAAGATACTGATAACTTCATTCCTAAATCAGTATTTAGCGCAAGAGAATGTAGCGGTATTCAAGCTTTATGCTTACTTTCGATAGCGAAACTGCAAAAATGCGTATCTCGGTTTGCTTTGTTTCGAAATCTCCGCCACTATTTTATTTTTTAAAAAGAAACCGAATCAACATCATATCCTAAAGTTTTTACAGAATATTTCTCATTAAGAGAATAAAAATCACTGAAAATGTCAAAAACTGTCGTCTAGTAGCTTTCCATGTAGATTATGAAGTATGGAAAGAAGTCTGCGATGCCGCAAACCGAAAAACGCATTTCTGCAGTTTTACCACCGATTTTCTGTTTGCGCTGCAGCACAACGCATCCTCATAAGGAATTTTGCCCAACCCTGATAAGTCGCGGGGAAAGTAAAGGGAATTTCGCTGCAGAAATTATTTCCTCCGGCAAAAACGTTGCATTTTTCACGTTCAAGATGCTTCGCGCTGATAATTATTTGTGAATAGAGTTTTCAATAGGAACCATACCAAACAAACACGGAAAAGTCATGAATTCTCATGTTCAAAATATCTGAAAAGTCAGGGAATTTTTAAAGCCAAGAATAACTTGTCACCTTCAAACAGCGATGATCAGGAAAGGTCATTGTTTTCGCTCATTTTTGCGGTCCCGCAAATTTTACCGCTTGGCAACGCTGCCAACGACGGAGGATGGTAAATAATTAATAGCATACGATTTTTACACATTTCCAAGTAAATTGAATGAGAAGACTCGGAAGAGGGTAAAGAGCGTAATTGCCGATAAAGCCAGGCGA